TATGCCTGTTATTAGATTGACCCTGCAAAGCCTGCTCTGTTGACATGGCAACGACGGTTGGATGGCAATGGGAATGTGCCGTCAGAATTCGCCCTTACTTATCGAGAGACCATGCACATGGTACAACGAATCGCTTTTCTTTCCTTATGGGTGCTGGGAATCTATAAAAATGAATTTTTTTTTAACAAAATCTATAGATTCTATTGAAAAAAAAAAAAAGAAAGAAGAAAAGAGTACATTAATTTAGTACATTAATTTTATTTATAACATAGCTTATAAGTGGCAGGAAGGAGCTATTTCTTTTATTCTGTTAGTTTATATTGAAAAAATCAAACTCATCAGTCTCTGTTATATATATATATATATATATATTTAAACATTGGAAAATTTGAGGATGGGGGAATTTTTTTTTTCATGTAGGTGAGAGTAAAACTTTTAATCTATCATAACTCAAGCATTTAGCCTTGATTAGTGAACTAATTATCCTCAAAGGGCTAGTTTTTCTCTGTTATATATATTGAATAAATCAAACAAGAAATTTGTACCTTTAACAAGGATAATTAAAATTTTAAATCATAATTTTTTATAGTATGATATATTTGTTTATCTATAATATCTAATTAAATCTATTTTAATTTTGAAAGGCTCCAGTTGGATTTCGACTATGGCTACACACTAGGGAAGAAGCTGCAAAAGGACGAGTAATATATATTTTCATTTTTAATCTTCTTCTCTCTTTTTATAAAATATCACATTTATTTTATATTATTTTCTTCAATTTAAATTTCCCTTTCAGGCATCAATATTTGACATTTTCAGAAAACACTATGTCAGCGGCGATCATGGTGTACCTTTAGGTGGTATTGGGTAAGTGTATATCTTTTTTACTAGTGATAGTTTTGTCCGTTTGTTTTTTTTCATTTTCATCTTGGTACTTCAATCTCCACAATTAGCTTCTTTTACATTTGAAAGCATCAATCTTTAGGTCAGGAAGCATTGGAAGAAGCTACAGGGGTGAATTCCAACGTTTTAAACTGTTCCCAATAAAAGGCGAGGAGGGCCCAGTATTGGCAAACCAATTTTCTGTGAGTGCCTTTTTCTGTTTTAGTTCTTGATTTTGGTTAAGAAATTTTAGTGGGAAAAGATTTTGTAACAGTTTAATCAAGAAAGTTCCAAATGGTACTTTAGTACTGTGTTTATTTTATTTTTATTTTTATTTTTCTCCTTTTTGGAAAGATGTAGTTTAGTAGAATTTGTCTCTAATATCTCTTTACAAAACACTAAAACTGCTTCTGAATGTCTTTCATCTTTATCAAGGCATTTGTTTCACGCGGAAAAGGTGAAAGATTATCAACTGTTTTATGTGCAAAGAGCCCAGAGTTGTCCAAGTAAAGCAGAATTTTTCGTTAACACCTTTGATTGTTTCGGTTTTTTGAAATGATTGTTTAACTAATTAACACGTTGGTTATACCATTGAGCAGAGATGGCAGTGGTGTGGGCATTGAATCTTGGGATTGGAATCTAAAAGGGGAGTTGTGTACATACCATGCTTTGTTTCCAAGGGCTTGGACAATATATGAGGGTAAATACATTGGTAACATTAATGCTTTAGACAATAGAGCTGATAATAAGAGCTTCATAGCTTTGAGTACATCTAATGATGTAATTTTTGGTTTATCAGGTCAGCCAGACCCCGAACTTAAAATCATTTGTCGTCAAATTTCACCTTTTATTCCCCACAATTACAAAGAGAGTGGTTTCCCAGTCTCAGTGTTTACATTCACGGTAGGAGATATGTTAGAAGCTTTACTTCTATTATGATTGTTAGTACACATATTTTTCTAAGTTTTAACCTTTTTATGCATGTGTCAGCTCTCTAATTCTGGGAAGACCTCTGCTGATGTTTCTTTGCTTTTTACATGGGCTGTAAGTTATGGATTTCACTTTGAGTATTTATGTTCCTTCTTTTACATTTGGATAGTTTCTTTGTGGGATGTGAACATATTTGTTTATGAAACATTGTTGACCCTTATTCTTTGTAACTTTTATGTGATTGTTCAGAATTCAGTTGGCGGGGTCTCCGGCTTTTCTGGTGGTCACTTCAACGCAAAAATGAAGTAAGAATGTATTCAGTATAACATTATGTACCTTCTCTAATATAATTACCTAGAATTGGTTGAGCCCAATATTAATCAATTAACAATTGTTTACATCCATCAGAACGGAAGATGGAGTGCGTGGAGTTCTTCTACATCACAAGTAAGTTCTCTTATTGCTTGGAGAAAATGAATCAATCTTGATAATTTAAGTAGTAAGATGTCCCTTCCATGAATCTGATTTATTAGTTGCACTTGAACTTACTAATGTAAATTATTTTTCATTCAGAACCGCAAATGGACATCCTCCACTCACTTTTGCTATTGCTGCGAAGGAAACAACCGATGTCCATGTCTCAGAATGCCCTTACTTCTTGATATCTGGCAATTCTCCAGGAATCACTGCTAAGGATATGTGGCAGGACATTAAAACGGTTAGTAGACTTACTTATAAGTTGTATGGTTATTATTTAGTGTCTACCATGGAAGCAGAAAGGTTGAAACTCTATACATCACCGGAAACATTAGATCATACAAATGCAATTATTTAGCTTGTTGTTCTTTTTCTACAAGATGATTTTACAAAGATATTAATCTCGTTACCTTTAATCTTATAGCATGGATCATTTGACCACCTTGGTCACAATGGAATTTCGCCTTCAGAACCAGGATCATCGATCGGAGCTGCCATAGTAGCGTCTGTGACTGTTCCTTCTGGTTCTGTTCGTACTGTCACATTTTCACTGGCATGGGATTGTCCAGAAGTGAGATTTAATGAGAAGACATATCACAAGTTGGTTTCTCCAGTTCCTTGAAATTTGATAATCCTACTTTCAAAATTCATACATAAAATCAATACTGATGAAAGATCTTGCATATTAGGCGTTATACAAAATTCTATGGCTTTCTAGGGGATGCAGCAGCAAAAATTGCACATGATGCTATTTTTGGTACGTTTAGACATTTTAATTACAATATTTGCTGCATATGGCATTTTTAAGATGTAGCACCTTTCTCTAGAAATAAACACAGATATATATATATATATACACACACTATTTCTTCACTTTTAATGTTGAGATTTATCATAACTTTTTAAATGAAAAAGATAACTAAAAGATGAAAATAAAAGGATAAATGATTAAGATTTTGTGTAAATGTAATGAGAAAAACTTGTGTGTAAATGAATTTAGACTCATATATATATATATATATATATATATCCAATTTTATTTCGTGTATGACTTACATCTAGGAAATTTCATGGGCATGAAGATGAACTCATTTGATTTTTTTTTTTTTTTAATTGAGCCCAAACATTTCTTGGAAACTATGATTCGAACAGTAATTAGTGATATTTCCCATGCCATTTAGTATCCGAACCTGTTCCCTTCAAATGGTTGGTGCTCATTGATGTTCTATATTTGAAGCGATTGTATGTTTTCTTAACAATGGTAAAGATACAGCGTTTGGGGTGTTAGGTTGGTTCTTTGATCCATGTAGGAGAGATCTTTAGCCCTCTTGAGATACAAAAATTTTGATTTATTTTGAAACTGTCAAGGGGTGATATTACATTATGTAATTGAAAATTTTTATTTCTTTAATTTTAAATCTAGAGCATGCTGATTGGGAATCGCAGATAGAATCATGGCAAAAACCAATTCTTGAAGACGAAAAACTTCCTGAATGGTAAGATAAAATGAACCTTTTTCTCATGAGGTGTATTATTTTTCAAATTGTTGAAAGATGTTTTAAAAGATGAAATTTTAACCAGGTACCGTGTGACACTCTTCAATGAGCTCTACTATTTTAATGCCGGGGGCACAATATGGACAGGTATACATGAATACTGATATTGTTTACCAGAATTGTGGCTTACCCAATTATTGAAATTCACCTTTTACGTCTATAGATGGATTACCTCCAATGCGAAGTTTAGTATCCATTGGAGAGAAGAAATTCTCTCTTGATAAGCCCAGGTTATATCAGAATAAGAATATTGACGTTGCTAATCAGAATGACATGGCTACTGAAATCCTTGAGAGGATGACATCAACACTTGAGAGGTTACATACTCCACTAATGTCAAATGCAGCATTTGGGACCAATTTACTTCAGGATGGGGAAGAAAACGTTGGTCATTTCCTTTATCTTGAAGGGAGTGAATACCTCATGTGGAATACTTATGATGTCCACTTTTACTCATCCTTTGCTCTACTCATGCTGTTCCCAAAACTTGAACTTAGCATTCAGAGAGACTTTGCAGTTGCAGTTATGATGCATGATCCAAGTAAAAAGAAAATAATGAGTGATGGAAGGTGGGTTCCAAGAAAGGTTCTTGGTGCTGTTCCCCATGATATTGGGCTCAATGACCCTTGGTTTGAAGTAAATGCTTATAACCTATTTTATACAGATAACTGGAAAGATTTGAATTCCAAGTTTGTTCTCCAAGTGTACAGGGATTTCATTGCAACTGGCGATAAAAATTTTGCAATAGCTGTTTGGCCTTCAGTTTATACTGCAATGGCTTTTTTGGACCAGTTTGATAAAGATGGGGATGGGATGATAGAGAATGAGGGCTTCCCTGATCAAACCTATGATGCGTGGTCTGTTACTGGTGTGAGTGCGTATTGTGGGGGACTTTGGGTAGCAGCTCTTCAAGCTGCATCAGCTATTGCTCTTGAAATTGGAGATTCTGCATCTGCCACTTACTTCCACGTCAAGTATCAAAAGGCAAAAGCTGTATTTGGCAAATTATGGAATGGCTCCTATTTCAATTATGATAACAGTGGGGGTAGCTGCAGTAGGTCCATTCTGGCTGATCAGTTGGCTGGACAATGGTGAGCGTAGTCTCAATCATTTTTCATTTTACATTCAAATTCAATATTGATATCCATATCAGTTAATGAAATGAAAGAGGTTAAGGCCTGGAAACCCCTTTGGTGTCCATGCTTATTCCATTTTTGAACTACCATGCAAATGGAAGTGCGTATACATCTGTTTAACCTTCGGACACAAGCTCAATTTTGAGTGATGTTACAGGTATGCTAGAGCATGTGGTCTCATGCCAATCGCAGACGATAACCAAGTGAGGAGTTCTCTTGAGAAGATTTACCAATTTAATGTCTTAAAGGTAAAAGGAGGAATGCATGGGGCAGTGAATGGTGTACTTCCAAATGGGGAAGTTGATTTGGCAACTATGCAATCAAGGGAAATATGGACTGGAACTACCTACGCTCTTGCTGCTAATATGATTCAAGAGGGAATGGTGGACACAGCATTTAAGACAGCAGCCGGTATCTATGAAGTTGGCTGGTCCCAGGATGGTCCGGGGTAAGTTTAATTCATTTTCTTTCCTTCAAGGATTTTCTCTATAGTAGCCATTAGAAACTAACCCTACAATATATATAATCATTTTTTTGTCTTCAAACTATTTTTCCCTAAAACCTCTACTAGTACAAGGCTTTATTTTGTCATTAATTTGTTTTGCAGCTATTCTTTTCAAACTCCTGAAGCCTGGAACACCAACGGCCAATACAGATCTCTCTGTTATATGAGACCATTGGCCATATGGGCAATGCAATGGGCCCTGACAAAACCAAAGCTTGTCACCAAGGAGATGATGCATGAAGTCAGTGATGACCCTATTACATATCTTAAGCATCATGCAGAATTTTCCAAAGTTGCTAGCCTTTTAAAATTGCCTGCGGAGAAGGAAAATCCTAAGAGCTTCCTACAGACTTCCTATGAGTTCATTTTGAGGATATTGCCATTTTAATATTCGCTTCTTTTTTTTCCCTTTTTTCTTTTTTGTTTTATCATTAGTCATTTAAGCGGATTGAAAGTTCAAATTGTTGGCATTAAATATGTATCAATCACAATTTATGTCATGTTAAATAAGATTTTATCCTAAGAAAATATTGTGTTTGATCTCCTTTTTCTATAGTCTGACTAAAATGCATTAGAAGAGCTACACTATTGTACCTGATGTAAAAGTGTGTTTAATTTCATTTTTCTTCGGCCCTACTAAAATGCATTTTAAGACCTATTCCTTTTGTTTTTTATGTGAACACATATAAAAAAAAAGGGTTTTTCTGTTATTGCACCTTTTATCATAAATGTATATAAAAAAATATAAAAGTTGATATTAATTTCGATGTTACGTGAATTTAATTAAACAATTAATAAGTTAAAAATTAATTTTTTATTTTTTCAATATTGATTTATGATAAAGATGTATATTTAATATACTTTTAACTTATTCATTTAACGTACGTGTTAGATAAATCTAAAAAATAGTTTGAATCTTGCAATTCTCACTACTAGTAAAACAATTTGTTAATATTGATTTTATATAGTTTTTAACCACTTATTTTAATTTTTCACTAAATTAGTGAATAGGAGTAAAAATGTAAAATTTTTTTATTTTAGATTAATTAATAGATAAAATACAATTTAATTAATTATGTAATTTTTTTTAAAATAGGCAATGAATTACACTTGGTCCTTATAGCCCAATGACTAGTGTCATTGAAAAAGTGCATATCCCTCTCCGCTTGGTGGGTTTCAAAACTGCCCCACTGACAAAAAGTTCAAAAAAAAAAAAAAAAAGGCAATGAATTAATTCTGTAATTAAGCATATGAATCAAAGGGTATTCTCAATATCAGCGGTATAGAAAATGCGAACATGGTAGGGACGAAAATGAGTTAAACAAGAATTTACGAAATAATCGATACATGCTTAAAAGATTAGAGACTTTCAGAAATTAACTACAAAATTTTAAAATTCACCTTTTTCCTTTTTTTTATTTTTTGGGCTGAAATCCGATCACCGTCGTTTCTACAAACACCGACGATTAGGGAGCAGCTACTGACTGAAGATTGAAGAAGATGGCGAATAGCTCATTACCAGATTCGGTAAGCTTCAGACTTGGGCAGCGAGTCCATGCAGCCAACGATCCGCGCCGGATCGGTACGGTCAAGTACATAGGTGAAGTGGAGGGGTACTCGGGCACACGGGTTGGAGTGGACTGGGACAACCACAGAGATGGCAAGCACGACGGTTCCATCAATGGCGTCCGATACTTCCATGGCCGATCCGAACTGTCCGGTTCATTCATCCGGCCTCACAATTTGAGTCCCGGCATCTCGCTGCTTCAAGCTCTCAAGCTCAGATACGAAAGCCATTCTACAGAAGAAGAAGAGGGTAAGTAAGCAATACGCCCATGGAATTTTGTTGCAATTTCTTTAGATATGTGATACAGTGAGAAAATCCCAGAATTTTTATGTCATTGGTCTGCTTTTGGTTGTTTTGCAGATGAAATGTATGTATTTTCTGCTACCAATAAACGTGTATCTGTTGAACTTGTTGGTAAAGAAAAAATTCAGGACAAGTTAAGTCGATTTGAAGAATTAACAAGTGCTTCGCTATCTTATTTGGGTGTGAGCAATCCTGGAGCACCAGGTGAAATCAGTAGCGTGGTGCCAAGTGAGTAAACTTTAGGAGTTCTGGATATGTTGTATTTGCCAAATTATTTGGAAATGCAATTACATTATTGTATAATTGTTCATTGCTTTTGTTGCAGATCTAAAGGAGCTTGACTTGACAGGAAATTTGATTTCAGAATGGAAGGTATGATATATGAGGCTGCATTTTCCTTTGAGTAATCATGTCTGCATTCAGAGCTTTAAGGGAGATTATCACATATGCATTGAGTATCTTGCTTAGACCTTAGTGCTGGTAGATATGCATTTACTTGTTACTATAGGAACTTCAAGCTGCCTGCTGCTGCCTAAATATGACCTCTTTTTTGAATTTATTTCTTCTTGCAGGATATTGGTACCATCTGTGAACAGTTACTGTCACTTCTAGCGCTCAATTTATCCAATAACTTGATGATGCAGAACATTACTGGGTTGCCACAGCTAAAAGGCATCTGTGTTTTGGTTCTGAACAATTCAAGCATAAATTGGTCTCAGGTGTGCTGTATTTTATTTATGGGCAAATTAAATATGGTTCTGCCCAGTAAAGCATGCCTTTTTAAGTGGATGGCCTAACATGAACCAAGGGCTCATGTCTGCATGAATATAGCTCTCCCTCTAAATTTTTTGTCCTTGATTATAATATTTCATTTCTTCTCCTAATCTAGATGGAACTTAACAGACATACTGCATCATTGAATTTATCTAACTTCTTGGATGTAATTACAATTTTATTAACTTCATGTACACAATAGATACATGGCCTAATCTATAAGGTTGAATGATGTATTGTTTTTGTTTTTGTTTTATTTGTGTAACTTTCTTTTCTCAAGAAGTGATGTGGAAGAGGTGTACAAGTACATTGAGAGGAAGTGGAGGTGGATTAATAAAGGAAATAGAAGTTATTAAGAAACTAAGATTTGCTGTTAATTAGACACAGCATGAAATTCTAGATATGGTGTTGAAATCTGAAAGGTTTGAAGGAGCTGGAATCTTTTTGATATGGCAGGTTGAAATTCTTGAACATTCATTGCCAGCAATTCAAGAGTTACACCTGATGGGGAATCTCATAAGCACAATACAGGTAGTGCTTACCGAACTTTACTCATAACTGAAACTATGTTATGTCTTTGGCTTTATTAGCACTTTGATGTGCAATTTGCACTAGTTGCCATGCTAACTTTTATTGGCTACCAATATGTGGCATACTTTACTTTTGCATGCTAGTTCTTATTGTGCCCTTTCCTTCAACATACATGTGTGAAAGTTGTGGTGGGAGAAGTGGATTGACAGATTGTTAATTTTTGTGGAAGAAGTGGATGTGTAGAGTTCATGGTTCTGATTTCATACCCGTAGATCCAATGTTTTCAAAGGAAAAAAACTGACATGCTTTTCAGTTTCCGAGAATTCATTGTTGCTCTTGTATTTGTTTCTTTGACTCATTCAATTCCTCATACACTAGATACTTTGGCTTGATGATGCATGACAATGTTGTTATTTCTGTGGTTTTCACAGCTAGCATCATCATCCACTGTTCAAGGATTTGATTCTCTGCGGCTTCTGAATTTGGAAGATAATTGCATAGCTGATTGGAATGAAATCTTAAAGCTTTCACAGCTGAAAAGGTTGAAGCAAGTGTTTGTTCATGTGTCAGGGATTCGTGTGTGTGAGTGCCCACATGTATGTTGTATTTTTTGTAAATGATTTTTCTTAAGCTTTTGCAATGTTCTTCCCACTCAGTTTGGAGCAGCTTTACTTGAACAAGAACAAATTGGCCAACATCTTTTACTCTGATAATGATAAGATACATGAAAAGACCTATGTGCCATTTCAAAATTTGCGGTGCCTTCTTTTGGGTAATTTACATTCATTTTTTTCTTTATGCTTTTCATAAGTTGTCTGCCTAATTATTAGCTTCTTCATTTCTTCTTGGCTATTTGGACATTGTTTCTTATTTTAGCCTACTTTTAATACTTCAGGAAGTAACAATATTGTGGATCTGGCTTCAATTGACTCTCTGAATTCATTTCCTAAATTGATTGTAAGATTTCTTGAGATCAGTTATCTCTTATACCTTCTTGTTATTAAAATTTATACCTGAAACTGTATAAATTCCTAAAACAATATGAAGCTGGTATGAATTCCTTCTGCATAAATTCCTAAAACAATATGAAGCTGGTATGAATTCCTTCTGCATAAATTCCTAAAACAATATGAAGCTGGTATGAATTCCTTCTGCATAAGCTAATATTTAGCTAATTAGGAATGGAAAATCTTGCTCAGCTTTTGAAGATTGATGTTTGTAGACTCCAAATTAGATTGCAATTCCAGGATGAAATTTTTGAGTGGTTCTCTAATTTCTTTTCTTCTGACAGCAACAGCATTTCTGATTGTTCTTTTATTGAATGAAAGGATGTTAGGCTTTTTGATAATCCAATAGCTGATCCTGCAAGAGGTGGTATCCCAAGATTTGTTTTGATTGCACGGCTAGCAAAAGTTGAAATGTTAAATAGTAGTGAGGTAAACCATAGCCTTTCAATGAAACCAACACTCTTTTCTTCTTTCCTAGTTTCTTTTGAATGTGATGTGTCCTTTTTGATACTGTCAGATAAGTGCTCGTGAAAGGAAGGAATCTGAGATCCGGTATACAATTTTCTCCACAAAACAGTCCATTAGTTCAGTCCTTTATTAACAAAAGCATGCTTTATGATTGGCCTACATTTTTTTTTTTTTTTCACTCTTTTGTTTCATTAGTGCTTGCTTTATTTCATTTTTATATTTGTTGACTTAGAAGCTGCACCATTTACATTTGTCAAGAATATTTCTTGTAGGTATGTCCGCTTGGTAATGTCAAAGTTGGATGATAATCCAGAAGAAATTAAGCAGCTGCATCCGAGGTACAACTATTTTAGTGTCTGGGTCATAGGTAGTTCAAACCTGTCACTTAATTTTTGAGGTTGGATACAGAACAATATTAAAGATGAAGCATGGTAAATTCGTTGCTATATTTCCAAAAGTTTTTTCAATCAACCCACCAATTTATAACCAAAAACCAACCTTGCAGAGGAAAATCAGAAAATGAGAGACCTAAATATGACAAATTACGTGTTAGTCAAAGCTATTCCACTGACTGACCTGATCTGTGCGGTGGGATGATTGTAACCCAAGGGCTCCTGTGCCAAGCCTTCTTTCTCTATCTATTACCTATCAGGAAGATACTTAAGCCTTTTGGAATGTGTCTGGCAATAGTGACCTTCAATCTTGAATATGAAGTTGTTGGCTTATCTTTAAGCTTTTGGAGAACTAGAACACAACATGGTTACCACCAACTATTAATCTAATTGTATGTTGATTATCGATTTACTTAGACACTATTCATCATTCTTTTTTTTTTTTTGTCTTTTGACCAAACTCCAACTGCAGGTTCTCTGAGCTGAAGAAATTTCATGGGATTGAGGACGAAAGGCCATCAGTTGGGACAGCAGGACCACAGAAAATGGCCTCGGGACTGTTGTGTATGAATCTTAGAATTTTTTTTGCCAAGTTCTTTGACTCTAATAGCAATTTTTAATGGTGTGCATAATATATACAGCAATCACTCTGAAGTGCGTTGGTCCTTCCATTGGTGAGAAGCCTCCATTGACAAAGAAAATCCCAGCCACTACCACGGTTACCCTCTTTGCTCGAACTTTGTCTAGTTGGTATACGTATTTGAAACACTTACTAAAAATTTGTTTCTTTTAGGTTGCCAAGTTAAAAATTCTTTGTGAAGGTCTATTCAAGCTCAAATCTATAAAGTTGAAATTATTTCTTCAAGAAGAGGTTTGTCTTCATCATATTGGTGGTAGCTCTTCTAAATCGCATCATTTGACTTATGAGTTACGCCTGTTGTATGATTTCTCTAGAAATGTATATGTCTACAAGCTTCACAATTGCAGAAGGAACAATATAAATAAATATCGACGCATGTTGCCTTGATTCTTCCTTGGTGCGTCTAGTTTGGGAAAAAAATGCTTAAAAAGAATAGCTATAAGCTTAAATTCCTGTTAGTTTGGATTTTTGTTTTTTACTAGATTTGGAATGATATTCCATATTTGGTTTTTAATTTTTCAGGGTTCTCCTCTGCCGATGTTGCTTGATGATGAAATGGCATCTCTTATGGAAATCGGGATTGGTAATGAGTCGACTATTCTTGTGGATGAAGAGAGTTGAGGGAAACATTATACAGAATCCATTAAGATCACTGCATAATCAATTTAGGGATACAACGAAATGTGCCATGGAAAGAAGACATACCAGGGCCATGCTGTTTTCTTCCCTGGTTGCTTGGGTTTTGCATTTGACGTTTTTACGGGATGATCCGAGATAAAGATCAGTTAATTTCCTTACTACCACTCAATTTTTTTTTTTTGGTTGACTCCTGATCCTTTGTATTTTGGAGACATACAGAAAAATTAGTTTGAGGAAGAAACTGGCGCATATTTTCTTAGATTTAACAGAATCCAAAACTAAATTTTAAAAAGAAGAAAAAGGAAAGAAAAAGAGATGAATACGAAAATAGAATCTGAAAAATCAAGACGTCTTTGTGTCAGAACATTCCATCACAGCCATCTAATGCGAGTCTCAATCAAAGGTTTATTTTTTCGATATGAAAAACTCCAAAATTACTCGTACCATGTTAAAAGATATCAGCTATATGATGCACTATATCGTATTTAGATGAACTTAAAAAGACCAAAAATACAAAAGAAAATGGTGATCAATGATTTATTATTTTGAATAAAAAAAATATGATTTCTCTTAATCAAAATTTCAAAATAAAATTTTATAAACATATATTGAGAGAATTTTTTTTATTATAAAATTTAATGTGACTTGAATTTAAATAGTTGAGTTTAATATGATTTCTAAATATTAAAAAATTCAATAAAGAAAAAAAATGAAAAAAGAAAAAGAAAACAGTGATCAGTTTAGGGCAAAACCATTCATAGTAAATTAAGTAATAGGGCAACATTAAAAAGAGTGCAAGTAAGAAATCTTAGAAAATACATCTACTTTCTCAAACAGGCATATACACAGCCTATTGGAAAATGAGAATAGGAAGAAGAAAAAAAAAAAAAACAGAAGGACAAAACTAGCTCTACTAGCTACCAGAATACTGGTTAAATTACTCTACAGTCCAAACACATTAATAGTACAACAGCAAAATTTCAATGAGGAGCAGCATACATCTGGGTCGAATCATACTGAGGATATCCGGGCTGGGGAGACACAGTTTTTGCATATGGAGCTGGTGCACCCCCTGCTGTAGCTCCATAACCACCAGATTGTGAGGCATTCTGATCAAAGCCTGGTTGAGTTGTTGCTGGCTGGGCATACCCTGGTTGGCTACCTGGTGCACTGTATGTTGACCCAGCACCACCACCATAACTAGGATCTTGAAGACCTTGATAACCATAACTGGCATTGTTTCCTGCTGGCTGCTCAGTGTAACCCTGTTGTGAAGAGGGGTACTGCCCATACCCATCAGCACCTACTTGAGCATAACTTGGAGCAGCAGGCTGACCATAACTAGGAACAGGCTGGTTACCTTGCTGTGGATACACAGGAGCAGTTGCCGTTGAAGCCTGATTATATGCATCACTGGGTGGTGCAGAGCCATATGGAGGATAACTTTGTTGCACAGACCCACCTGATCCATATGGGTATTGCTGTTGAGGTGGCACACTTGAACTGTATTGGGCTGATGCAGGACCTGGATAGGCCATATCTCCAGGCTGACTGGTAGGAGGACCATAAGTTTGTGGATGGTGTCCCTGTGACAGCATGCCATATGATGGTGGCTTACCATATGGCTGTTGTGGGGCAAACCCTTGTTGAGGACCTGACTGTGTATAACCAGGCTGAGAAGCACCATGCCCTCCATAAGGATGCTGCACTGCAGCATGATTACCATATTTATGTTCTTCATATCCTTGACCATAGCCCTGATGTGGAGCAGCCTGAGGGTATGGTGGATGGGCATAATCTGGACCATGAGGCTGTCCATAATTGTAATTTGACTGAGAAGGGGGTGGCCCCATGGCAGGAGCAGGTGAAGGTGCAGGACCATGCCCAGGAATTGAACTAGAAAGAGGAGCAGAAGCACCTTGTCTGCCATAGTAATTATAACTGCCACCCTGCGGAGGAGGTCCTTGCATGCTATGAGGCCTTTGGTCCCAACTAGAACCGAAGTTACTTCTTGGAGCCATTTGTTGAGGATAACCACCATAGTTTGGAGCTTGATGATGTGCATTCTGAGATGGATATGGTCCCCGTTGCTGATACTCATATGGCATTGACTGAACATGATGGCCACGTGGACCCCATTGAGATGGACCCATAGGTCCACGGGGTCGATAGTGTTGCTGATTGAAACCACCAAAATGAGATGATGGCCTCACGGTCTATTTGAAGCAAAAAAGGAAAAAAGGAAGTTAGTGGGCAGAACCAATTTCATTCACATAATATATTATGTACTGTGCCTTAAATTAAAGTTTGTTCTATATAACAAGCATTGGAAGATTTCTTGGGCATCATCCATATAGCAGAAACAAAGCTCATTTACATATGCACCACAATACAATGATAAACCAAGTTAAATCAACATTGCTAACAAGAGATAGAGAACAAACTGAGACCCTAATCCAACAAACTAGAAAATTCAATCTGGTGCTGAATAATGTTAATTCAAACTACAACAGACATGCTAACATTAAAAGAATGCAATAAACACAGCCTCTTTATCATATAACAGACTTTAACCTTTTCTGAAACTGAATATCTAAGCACATGATTTCACCCTCATGTTACTCTCTTAAGGCCAGAAAAAGATTGATGACAAAAAATGTTCTGATCAAAATCTAATTAAGTTTCTAGCATGTGATCATTCTGCATAGGAAGAATAAGCCAAATACATTCACTCAAACACCAAAAACTAATAATTTAAGACAGCCATTAATAACTCAAGGAGCTTTACAAAATTCACCAAAAAGAAAAAACAACTTAGTTGCCAGATATCTTGTATACCAAAATTTTAGCATAACATCAATCACTTAGGCGAGGTAGCATATTGCAAATTTAAAATGACTTCTTATTCTTGCTCTGGCCTTAAATGGCAATATACTCATAACGTTTGTGCTGTGCAGGCCAGAGGTCATGTACTATTTTCTTCAGGTGTTTCAGCATGGCATCAAACATGATTTCAAGTTGATAGTCATCTAAGATACCTTTCAGACAAATATTACTTGACCAGGGATACTTCCTCCAACACACGTCTCATGCATAGAACATCGAGGCGTTTATCATAGTCTCACTACATTATGATTTTTCAATTTTCAAGTCTCATAGCAATCTTACCAACTCTTAACATCCTGCAATTGCGAGATTAAATGCCAGATACCTCTCTTCAGTGGATGAAGGGGAATAGTGGTTGTCTATTGCTACACCAAGAAAGCAATGCTGACCCCATGGGGAAGGCAATAGCCAAATCTGCAGATTTTAAAGCCAACCAATTCGAAATTGGCACCTTTACATAAATAAAGCATGGCAACCGACATCTTCGACTGAACATATCATCTTCTTAATATCATTTAAGTAACCTTGGCAAGTATAATTCACATTCTTAAGTATAAGGCCCTCCCTACAATTTTGAAACTACATGACAAGTCCCTTTAATTTGGATGACAAGGAGCCATAAATGCAAATGCAATTCAGATGAGTAATCACCAAAATGAATGGCTTCAATTAATTGTTTGCTTTGACAAAGACCATTGAAGGAGACAGCACTGGCCTGACCCAATTAGACATGAACTTGAAATTTGGGACCCCCAAACATACAATTAAGATCATATTCATATCTACTGAGGGGCACAAATTTTAACATCACATAGGTCCACTAATGCATGCATACAGTCCATAAAACCAATGTCCTTAAGTTGGATAAGATGAAACAAGTCTATCTTGTCACATACTGCACAAAAACCCTGTATGCAGCTACAATTATTAAACCTTCTAAAAGTAGAATAGCTACAGACATGAAACATATCAGTGGCATGTTGAGCATATTCATAATTAACATTCAAAACTAGAAATATTGACCTTATGTTGCTCAACTACTTCAGGATACTGAAATCTACTGGAAAGCAAACAAATCAAGGATCAGATCCCATCTAAGTAAGAACACAATGTATCGAGCTGACAATCAATGGCAATGTCTTAACATGTTTCTAAAAAAATTCTTAGATATTTTAAAAGTACTCAGCGCAAAATTATAAAATGGATAAGGAAGAACATAAATGCAGCTAATTGACCAGAGTCTAAAACACTCAAATTCATTGCTGATGCAGTAATTTACTATTCATCCAGCAGATATTATTAGCAATATTGATGAAGACATCTAAGCTGACATTTTCTGAGTAGAAGGGAGAAAAGTAACAATCATATTGTAAGTAATCACAACATCTGCAATTTAATTTTCATCTAAGGTTTAAAGAAAATAACACACCTGATTCATAACATCCTTTATCATTTCCCTGGCCATCTCAATCTGCTTCTTATCACCAGTAATTCGGACAGTCTTCTCTTTGGACAGTTGCCCCTCTGGGAGATGTTGAAGTAACTACATTGGTGCAAAAGTGAAAAAATTTGTTAGAAAAATAGATCTTTCCAAGAAGACTTTAAAACAGAGCATGGCATACAATATCAACTACCTGGATGCGTGCACCTGATCTGGTCTGAAGCCCTTTTATTGTATCCCCACCTCTACCAATAATCAGACCAACCTGAACCACGAAGAATTACAGATAAGCAAGTTAGAAGTATGCACCACTGTCTACAATAACTGTTTGCATGCTTCCTTGGACGTTTAGCAAACAGAAAATATAAGGAATAACCTTCTCATTTGGAACTTGTATCTCAATTTGGTCTACCGCTCCAGCAGCCTGACTGGTAGCAAGGCCCCTAGCTACAAGGGAAGGGGAACCCCCTGCATCGGCCTGCAGGAAAAATTAGAAAATACATTTTCAATAGACGTTGATAGGAGAGAGAGAAGAAACAGTTAACGGACAAACCCAAAAAACAGCAGAAAACCTCTTCTATGACAGCATTTATAAGCTTCTCAGCCTTGATAATAGTACTCAAAGTCCCCACTATTTCGACAGGCCTTGTCGGAGCATCCCTATCAGCATCTGCATCCTTCATGATTTGAATTTTTGCACCTGAATTGTATTGCAGGGACCTTATAGTCTCTCCAGCTTTACCGATAAGAACCCCCACCTGAACCATGATTCAAAGAATGAATATCACAAAACCTAAGCAAATTCAAAGGAGAAATTTCCACAGTTGCAGAAGCAGTTTTATATGAATAAACTTGTTATTTCAAAATACATAGATGAGATTAACCAGTATACCTTAGCATTTGGAACCTCAATTTTGCGGGAAATAACTGAACCATCATCAATCTCCTGCTGAGAACTCTCTTCATCTTTGGGAGGTTCTTGACCAATATCAGAATTCTCAACTTTAACTTGCTCATCAACGCCAGTATCATGATTGTCTGCAGAAGATTGTTCTATCGTTCTTTCAAGTTGCTCATTTTTCACTGTTGCTTCTGCTTCCTCAGATTCATGTTCACTATTCTCTGCTTGCTCATTTGTCTCATTAGGCTTGACTGCCTCTTCATCATCTTGCTCCTCCTCCGCCGGTTCCTCTGACTTCTCATCATCCTGCTCCATCACCGATTCTTCTAACGTCTCTCCTCCATTTTCAATCGCTACGTTATAACCAAAATGTTAAAAAAGAAAAATTATAAAACGAAATAGTGATAATCAGAACAAGCCAAATGCAAGCTAAAACCTATCGTACAACAAAAACGGTAAATCGGCTTTACCCAAACTGTCGGGATTGTTATCATCGAGCCTTGGACGCTTGGCCTCCGACAAATCGGACTCCGCCACGCCATTATCCGCATCTGCTTTTTCTTTTGATTCCACTGGCTGTTCGGCGCGCTCAGAGTCAGTAGGTTCCAAGTCCTCCAGCTTCCGTTTGTGATCGGAAGGCACGGGACATGCCACCGGCACAACAACCTCTTCTTCGGCCATGAGAGAGAGAGAAAGAGAGGCAAATCTAGCCTAGGGTTTCCGAGGGTGGAAAAAACTGCAGCTTTTCAACTTGGGAGTGTGCTTGTGTTACGTTTTTGTGCGAGAGCAGATCAGAGAAAAGATATTTATGGCCGTGTCTACATGAGGAATAAGGTAAGAGATTTTTAAAGGTTAAATCCCCGGTTCAATCCCTCAACTTTAATTTTTGAACTAAAATACCCTCAAACTTCAAAAAATACTAAAAAAATCCTTGAACTTCAATTTTCGAGACCAATTTCGTCCTTCCATCGACGAAAGTGTCAGATGGCACATTAAGTTGCCACGAAATCAATTCTTGTTTGAAATCTTTAATTATGTGAAAAATAACTTAACTCATTGTAGTATATTATTATCCACATCATTTTAATTAATATATATATATATATAAAAATTTAAAATTCCTTAAATACCCCCCTCTTCATCTTCGAACCCCTCTTTTTCTCCCTTCTTGTCTCTCTCTATCCTCAGATGTCTCTTTATCTTGCAACCCAATCAGCACCAATCATCCCTCATTGCTCCGGTCATCCTTTACCACTCTAATCACCATCTCCTTCTTCCCCAAAACTTCTCTCTAATGGAACCCAAATCTAGTTCCTCGCATAATGGCCAATAGATCTGATTCAAAAAATCAATTACACTACAAACTTATACCAGATATGTAAAGATTTAGCAAATCAATCATATTGCAAACTTATACTAAATCTGTAAAAGAAAAGGAAAATGTAAAAAATATAGTATCCCTTCAATCAACACCAATAGTAGCTAGATCTTGAAATTCAAGCAAGCAGAAGCCACACAAAACTCTAAATCCCATACCAAGATAGCCAAGCATGATTGCAGCCAACAAAGAAACAGAAGAAAAAACCTAGGCAAGTCCAACTCGAACCCAGGCACTGGGTTCGAAGGAACCCAAGGCCTAGGTTCGAGGAACTCGTGCCTGGGTTCGATGGAACCCAGGCGTGGGTTCCTTCAAACCCAGGCACTAGGTTCCTTTGAACCCAACACGCTTGGGTTCGATGGAACTTAGGCGCTAGTGCTGGGTTTCTTCGAACCCAGTAGGGAGGGGAAGGAGAAAAGGAAAGAGAAGGAAAAAAAAAAAAAGAAAGGAAAGAAATTTTTATTTATTAAATTATATTCATTTTACCATGTCATAATATTTTAATAATTAAAAGATGCTATATCATTTACTTTATTTTTAGGTAATATTCAATATTAATAAAAATTGAATTTCTTAGTGGAGAATTTCGCCACATTAGCACTTAACTGACAGAAAGACAAAATTGATCCTAAAAATTGAAGTTCATGGATTTTTTTAGTACTTTTTGAAGTTTAAGGGTAAATTTAATCAAAAATGAAAGTTGAGGTACTGAACTGAGGATTTAACCATTTTTAAATAATCTCTCTTTTTCCCAATTTTATGATCTCTCAACCTTTAGATATTTCAGTGTATATAGACTTTTCTCCTCAATCTCTGTGTTAATAGCAAAGGGGTCCTAAACCTTAAACCAAGTAACTACAATTTTACAGCTTCCTTGCGTGATGCTAAACATGGATATTTTGTCACAAAAGATCTTATTTAGAAATGTAAAATTATTGTTTTTAATTAACTTTATATATTTTTATTAATGTTAATTAATATTTTATATATTTTAAATAATAAAAGATTAAAAGTCTACAATTTTATAGCAACATAACACAACAATACCAATAGATGAAGCCTATAGTTTTCTTATATTGAATAATGAATCCTGAGCCTTCTAAAATGTTATGAATTTGAATTTGTATTTATAAGTAGGGCTGGGCATTCAACTTGAATTACCAAACTGAACCCAATTTTTGGCTGTCGAAAATAATTTTGAATAAGACTTTTAAATTTAATACAAACCAATTTTTTTTTCCGGTTATGATTTCAATTATCTAAATTATTTAGATAATTCAATTAATTAACCAACATAACTAAAATAGACTATTATTTTTCACTTTTGTCATTAAAAACTTTTTCTTTTTAATTTTGATTATTTCTAATATTTTTCTTTATATTCCTATCTATAAATTTGACTACAAAAGAATTTTCTCCAAAAAAATTTCATATAGTACAAAAATCAAAATAAAAAAATAAAATAAATTTATATTAAAAAATTTTGAATAATTTGGTAAGTTACATGGTAATTTTGGGTATGGGTCAATCATTATATCCAAACCAAATTAATTTTGCTCTTTTCAATTTTATTCAAATATTTGAAATATCCAAACCAAAATTCAAAAATTTAGGTAAAAATTTCAAATAATTTGACAATATTTGAAATGTGCTCACCTTTTATGAGTGGTTCATAAACCTTTAAAACCTATGGTAACATTTGGATTAGCTGTTCAAATTTAGCGGATAGTTGAAAACTAATAGTTGATAACCGATACTTGATAGCTAATAGCTAATAACCGATAGTTGATAATTGATAATTGATGATTGATAGTTGGTAATTAATAGTTATTGTTATTTATAATTAGTGTTTGGTAAATGAGCTGCTAACTAGTGGTTTCTAGTAGAGTATTAAATTACCATTAAATATATTTTTCATTTTAGTTAGATTACTTTTTTTTTTCTTTTTTATAATAATAATATCACATTTTCTTATCTTCAAATAAAAAACATTAAAAAAAGAATAGAAATAAAAAATAAATAAAACACTCAGAATTATTTTAAAGTTATATCAAAGTTCAAAATAAAAATAAAAAAATACTAACAAAATTATTATAAAATTATTATCCCAACTAATAATTAATCTCTCGCTAACATTAAACTTTGTGCAAATTTCTCACGTAATTTATTC